ATTCGCTTATTTTTGCAGGCTTCAACCCATAAAATCGAAACGACAGGTATATTCCAGTTTTTAGCTTTTTTGTATGTGGATAACAGACCATCTTTAAATATCACATGTGTTGTACCTCTGTAAAAGCGCAAATATTTTATTATTTTAAAAATTCATTTTTATATATGGATCAAAACTTTATACCTAAGAAGTTTGTGATTTACGCGTGCGCCTAATTGGGAAATTACTTTTTTTACACCTTCAGACCGATTATCTTCGCCGGTACGTACTTCTACATAAACCACAATGTCACGCATTAGCTCCTCGATCGAAGGTGGTGGAGGTGGTTGGCGTTCCTCTACACTGATAATATCTTGTTCTTCATGTGGTACGTCAAAGTTGGTATAAGCAGCGTTATTGGGATTTCTAATTGAGGAAATTTTGTGAGTTAATCATAAACGTTGGGAGTTCAGAAAATACTTACTTTAAAGCCCTCATTGCTCGCACGCGTACTGTGGCAGAAGGGCTATTGAGATCACGTTGTATGCGCGCCATTTGTGGATTCTGGTTAGTTGTTGCGGGTGTCGTAGGCTCTTCCGTGAGAGTTCCTTCGACGTTGTTAAGGCTGGCTTGAGGAGCTATGTTGCTGTCAGATGATTTCGCCTCGGAATTTATTGCAGTTTTAGAAGAAGTTGCAACGGAGTTACTTTGGTTGCTTTCAAGTACCACCTCTTTGAAAGTTGCTGGTGGCGTTTCGGATATCAAGAGCTTTTGCTGTGAACGCATTACATCGGCGCTGCTCACATAGTCGCTCAATTCGCCTGTAAGCCGTTGTTGGATCACGCAATATGCGCGCGCATATTGGAAAGAAGTCACGGAAATAAAACGTAGAATAAAATATAAAAAATGCAATAACTTAGAAGCAACTATAAGTAAATTCCAAGAGATCAACAAATTTAGGAACTAAATTATTTTTCACAATTGCTTTTTTTCTTTTTGTTATCATTTGCGCTATGTCAGAAAATGACAGCGCGAATTTTTCGCAGTGTTACCATCTAGGTACCTCACATCCCCGATAACGCAACAAGCGGAGCGCACTCCACGCGTCACTCACCATTTATTATAAATAATTTAGTACACATGAAATTTGGAATTAGCCGCTTTTTGTTGTTTTATGTTTCAAAAGTATAGGAAATTTTGAAATAAATTTTTTTTAACAAATTGATATTAGATTCATGACAGTGGAATATTTTTAACTTACACAGGTTTTTTGCTTTCTCAGGCAAAGACTCTCTCTCGTCAGCTCCATGTACAAGAAAATTGAAATTTTCTATGGATCCTTGGGAAGAGCTACTGAGCCCACTGTCCTCATTAGATGGCACCAATGGCTGGTC